GTGACTAGGAATTCTCAAATAGTTTTAAGACCTTACCCCATGATTCATGAATTACAAGTATATTTTGAAAACATTATTGTAAAATCTGAAATTTAACTGAATAGATAATATTCGGTGTGACTGATTGAAATAGCATAAGGAGTGTAAAGTTTTACATGTTATATGGACTGTTGAACTTAATTCTGATTGGTTTCAGATTTCTAGTTTGTGGCATCCCAAAAGTTTACATTATAATATATAGTTTTCTAAAGATACCTGTGAGGTCTACCATAATAATTTTTCCTTAAGTCATTTTCAATGTGTCAGCCTTACTTCAGGCTCAAACCAGTGGATTACTGCAACCTATATTTCTATTTTGCTTTTCATTATAAATTTAGAAAAGATGAATGAACAAGAAAAATAAGTAAATATTTATTTAGTAATAACTTAGAAAAAGTAATAAAGAAACTGTATAATTACTATGCTCTTTGTTGAACTAGAAAATAGGGCTAAAAGCATAAAATGTATTACCCAATTTTTAAAAGCAAAGTGTTCTGTATGCTGCTGGTACAGATATAACATACAAAATTTTTTTCCCTTTTGTTTTAAAAGAAGTGTATGCATAGATTAAAGATGAATCTTACTTACGTGGGCCTTAGAGTGTCTGCTATTATTTGACAAAAATGGGGATGGACAGGTGGGAGAATGGTTTATTTGGTTAAATATTTTATGATCTTTGGAAGTCTTGATTTAGTGATCCTACTTTCCTTATGAAAGTTTTCATTTGGCTCAGGTTTATATATTAATAGATATACCCAGAGTGATTATCTCCCTGAATTTTTAGGAGTAGTTTATTAAGATGAAGCGAGGTACTATCTATATTCTATAACCATGACTATAGAAGCAGAAAATGAATAATAGAGGTATGCCCAAGGATGCTAAGTCCTACCAGAACTTCCTGTAACACAATACTTGAAGACATTTTTTTAATATTTCTGAAATATTAGTATTTCAGATTTCCAAGAGTTGGAATTAATTGTACAAATGCATATATGTATAATAAGTAAATAAAATGCAACAGATACTTTTGACTGTTTTGTTAGGTTCTGAGCTTAAGCCTGTTCCTTTAATTCTTGCTTTATTTTTGTATCATGCTAGTCCTTTGCTTATTTTGCACATTTGCGTTTTCATTCTTTTACCACCTTTCCCTTATGTTTTAATCCTGCCCCATTTTTTCACATGACAGGAAAAAGCCCGATCATATCAGGTACCAAAATGGCTTCCTTCCGTTCACCCTCATCTTACTCCAGTTTCCTTTTTGGCACGAGAAAGCTCATAATTAACCTGCATTTCAGTTGGATTACTTGCAATGGATAAAAAGTCTCTATGTTTTGAATTGGGAAGAAAATATAAATACTGTATTTGAGGAATGGAATTATGGAATTATGCCTTTTAGTTGCTTATCTCCTAGTTTTAATGTATAAAATTATAAATTATAAATACTTTGTGTTTATAATTATCCAAAGAAGATACAGATTGATTGATATATTTTTTAATATCTTTTTTTTTGATTAGGAAAATAAGCTATTAAGCTCTTTTTAAAAATTTGAGCAGTAACTAGGATTAGTCCCTTTGGTAAAACCATATTAATTATGTTAAAATAATACATCGTCAGTTCCTAGGCTTTTTTGATTTACCATTTATTTTCCCTGTGAAAAAATAAATTAAGGTTGAAATAAAGGAGCATACATGTTCAAGCTTTTAATTTCATCAAATGTTTGGCACCTATATGAATGTGTAAATGAACCCATCGTCTATATAGTTTTAGTGATAAAGCTTCTACAGATTTAGAAGTTTGACTTTTACTCCTGTTCTTGATTTCAAGTGCATTTCTGGGATTAGTGATGAAACACAGTAAAAAGATACTCAATTTCTAAATTTATATATTTCTTCCTTTCCTACCTAAATTTTGTCATCTGGAAGCTCTTATTGGTTTGTTAAAATTAATAAT